AAAGATGATATTTTGAATCATAAAATTATAGTAAACTATATGACAATCTTATAAAAAATGTGACTGAAATTTTAGATTCAATTACGAATAAATCCCATAAATATATATATATTCTTTTTAATTTATTTAATCTTTAATTTTTGCCTGTGACTGTATATATATATATATATTATGAAAATGGACAACTTTGCCGTGTCATAAGGATTATGTTGGATATTTTCTAAAGATACGTTAATGGTGTTAACAAATAGAGAAAATGTGAATATTTTTTTAAAGATGGAGCACTAAAAGAGTAAATAAATTTTATAAAAATCAAATCAAATATATAAAACAAAATAGTGACGAGACTAAAATAATATTTACACGTAGATATCAAAATAGTATTTGCACAAAAACTGGTTTTACATTCTCAACAAAAAACTGATTTTACAAAAAGATATACAAATAATTTCTAAAATTTATTAAAAATAGACTTGATTTTTAAAATATTAGAAGCTTATTAACACATAATAATTTTAGTTTTAAAATAAAAATTCAATTTGTTAAATTATCAAAATTTTATTTTAGATTTAGTGATTTGATTGTTAATATAAATAAAAATATGAATAAATAATTCAATTAATATTTATTTTTTAAAAAAATAAATAACTATTATTCTATTTTTTGTGATTTCAATACCCATAATATAATTTTTTTTTATTTTTCAAGATAAAAATAATTTTTGCAATTATTTTCATCAATCCCGATATATTTTTTTAGGCCAAATTATTAAATTAGCTTTCAAAATTTATTACTTATTATAATTTAATTTATGATATTTTTTTATTATAATTTGATTCTTTATATTTTCAATTTATTTCAAATGTTCAATTTTTATAAAGTTAAAATAATTAAATAATATTTGAATATTTTAGAAATAATTTTAAAAAATAAATTTAACTAATTAATTAAATTATTTAAAAATAATTATAATTTTTTAAGACAAATTGTTAAATTAATTTATAAAATTTGACATTCGTTACAAATTTGATTATATTTTTGTTTGGTTATGATTTAATTCTTCACGTTTTTACATATTTAATTTTCTTTAATTTTTTTTTAAAAAAGGTAAAATAATTGGAATACTTTGAAAATAAAATAAATTAATTGAATTATTTAAACATAACCATACTTTTTTAAAATAAATTATTAAATTAGTTTCTATATAATGTTTTATGGTTACAATTTAATCTTTAGTTTTTTTTTTTTTTTTTTCTATTTCAAGGCATTCAATATGTGATCTAATCTTTTTAACTTTTTTTTGGTTAAGAAATGTTTGAAATAAATGAAAATTTAAAAGATTAAATTGTAATAAAAATAATATTGAAAACACAATCAGAAAACAAATGCCAATATTTGAAGACTGATATAATAATTTACTGACTTTTTTTATTAAAATATAAATTTATTTTAATAACATTTTCACCCCCGCGACAAACACAAACAGCAACTCGTTGCTCTCATTTTTCCTTCTCTGCTCAATCATTTCTTGTTTGTTCGGTAATTATTGTCATCGTTCTGCTTTGTTCCCTCTCGTTTAGGTCTCATCTCTTTCAGTATCTTCTTTTCCTTTTTGTTATTGTGTTGATGGGCTGTTGTTATTGAATTCTCTCGTCTGTTCAAAACTTTCTGAACGAAGTGCAGGACGAGAGGGGATGTTCTTCTCCAGGTCTCACTTCAGGTTCGTCTTCTCAAATCCACTAAACTGACTACTGAAGAAAAGTGATATAAAATCCACGAAACTGAATATTTAAACCTTTATGGTGCTATTACCAGAAAACCAACAACTTTCACCGAAGTTAACTTTCTGACAAATACGTTCGTGATGATGGGTTTTCTCTTATCTTCCCTGATTTTGGTTTTACCGGAGCTTCGTTTATCATGAGAGTAACAATTTTCTCCTTATTTCGGCTTTTTGAAGTTTTAAGCAGTCCTTTCGCGTAGTTACAAGTGCTAGCTCTATCGTTAGATTCAATTTTTTTTTGAGGACAACCAGTGATTTGTTCCCTGGGATATGTTTGGTTATTGGGCTTAGACAAGTAGATATAACAACAGGTTTTTTGTCTAATTTTTTTTATTTGACTATGATTGCAGGGCTGATCATCTACCGAAATTTGCGAATGCATATCTCCAACCAAAGCCGGTAACCAGTTTCAGGTTTTAAGCTTTGATTTTTGTGTTTGTATGATATATTTTTTTCCTTTCTGTTATACTGAGTAACTCGTATACTCATCGCTAGGTCTCTTTGACCTTTCACCATTTTTGCTATCAAGAGTGTAAAATTTATAAGATTTATGGTCGATACTTTTTTCCTTTAGTAGTAGCGAGAACGACCATTCCTTTTCCCTTTAGGTGCTATATACTTCGAGAATTGCATTGCTGGTTGTATATGGTTCCAGGTCGTCTTTGAGACCAGGAAAACTCCATTCGAATTTCAGGTGCTATATACTTAAAAATTTTTCAGGCCTCCTTTGGTGCGAATCTTGAGTATATGGAATTCTCTTAGTTACTTTTGGAACAACCTTTTTTTTTTTCTTGAATTTATTTGGAAATGTTGTTAGTTTTTATACCTAAAAACTTGAATACTTAGTTCCAAATCAGAATCAATAAACTTTGAAAAATGAATTTATGGTAGTTTAGAAGAGAAGTTGGTTTGCTTTATTTGGTCCTTGCCTTCACAGCAACATTTGAAATATGAAAAATGGAGATGTCTTCAGAAAATTATGAGTTTTAAATGAATTCCTAAAGGGTATTTCATTTGTTCCTAATGTACACTTAATCTGAAGGTTCAAAACAATTGATTAGAATGCTTTTGAAGTCAAATAAAGATTAAACTCAAGATTAAATGTAAAGTTAGCTGTCAACTAATACAAGTCCGTGGTTGACTTAATATCTGGTGGTACCATTTAACATGATAGGGACACTGCTCTTACTATAACTTGAGCCGTCGGCCAAGAGATATGGGTCGGAAGAAAAAGCAGAAGACAATAAATCATGTCTGGAGACCTGTATGTACTCAAACCCATCCCATTAGAGGTTTGTTGTCTTCATCTCTACAGCTTTAAGTTGAAGTTCTATTTTAGGTACTCCATAACTAATCCCTTGCATCAGCATTTTGCTTTCTTTTTTATTGTTTACTTGTTAATGAAATTACAGAACATTCTATCACTGTATTAAGGCTACATTTCGTATATTGGTAGGGTATTGTAAGGGAGATAAAGTTTTTATCTTTTTATTTATTTTTTATTTTACCCTACCTAATGTTGGGAAGTTCATTTTTTTTAGACAACATGTGTATATATAGAAGCACAAAGGAAGTGCAGTCCATATAAAAAATTTTTACATTGAAGGTAAACTTTTTTATGGATAGGGAAAGACAAGTGGCACAGTATTATATTAACTTCATGAGATAAATTAACACTACCTACCTGGATATTTCTCTAAAAACTAAAATAATTGTATAATTTTTTTCTTCTACATCTATCCTTTGACAGGAATATCATAACCAGCACTGTCGCTGCTCCAATTCACATTGCTGAATTTGGCGCCAAAATTGTTACTACTGTCAATCAATTGCTATTACTGTCGTAATCATCCTTACTGCTGCTGTTGCTACCATCACCATCGCCACCATTGATGCTATCATCACTATCATTGTCATCATGACCACCACTCGATATTGTGCCTCCAGAAGCAGCACCGTCGTTGCTGCTACCATGACCACTGTCACCCCATTCTGCTGCCACTGCTGCTACAGCTGCTCATACCACTATCTCTTTTGCCCCTGTTGCTGCCGAACACAATTACCGTGCCACCTCCTTTTTTATTGTTGCCGCTGACCACCACTATTGCTAGTCCTATCTCTATAGTCATCACCGCCATTAACGCCACCGCCATTAACGCCACTACCATCATGACTGCCACCATCTTATCTTCGTTGTCGTTCCATCATCACTACCAACACTCTCATTGTTGCTATTGTTCCCCCATCGGTGTCACTCTTAGTGTCGCCACTGCCATTGCATCATTGTTTCAGTTGTTGCCTCTGCCATTACTACTGTTGTCGTTGCTGTTCTGCCATTGTCGGTGTTGCTGTTGTCTCCACCCTGCTGTCTAGTGATTTTAGAAATAATTTTGTATATGTTGGCCAATGATAGGAGTACTTTCAAGAACTTTTTCATATCTCTTGATTTATGTCTAGTTATTTGGTGTAATTCATCGTCTTTATTATGTTGCTTCTTTTTTTTTTTTTTCCGAGATAAAAGTGAAAAGTGTTATTATGTACAAAAATAGCAAGGGAGTACCGCCCGTATACAAAATAATTACAGATCTATCAAATGGTCAATAACTAACCTAATATCTTCGTAATCTAGTATGTCATGGCCTAACAAAATACTACCAAAAGTGTGAATTTATCTATCCCTAATGTTTACAATGTCAGTCTCAATTCCTTCAAAAGCTTTTGCATTCCTCTCCCTCCACACAATCCAAAAAATGGTATTGGCTGCCTAGTTTTAGGTTTAGAGTCCTCCTTATTCTTTCCCAAGCTTCCGAATGGGGAGAATATTGACGGCTGCACCATTATCCGCCAATACCCTTGATAGAGGCACCCCATCCATGTGGACTCGGATGTACAATGGTTTTCTAAATATCTCGTCTGGGGGCTTTTCAAAGATGACTTTAGGGATTTCTACCCTTCTTAAACATAGACCAACTCGTCGACTCCACTTCTAGGCACGAGTTGTTGAGCTTCATGGACGCCCTCCCTGGGTATCATCAGATCCAGATGGTAAAGGAGGATGAGGAGAAGACCTCGTTTGTGACGCATCAGGGGACCTATTGCTATAAGGTCATACCTTTTGGCCTGAAAAATGCTGGTACCGCTTATCAGAGGTTGGTGAATAAAATGTTCAAAGATCAGCTTGGGAGGAATATGGAGGCGTACATAAATGGCAGGTTGGTCAAAAGTATGGTGTCCAACCAGCATATTGATGAATTGCGGGAGACTTTTGAGACTCTGTGGAAGTATCAGATGAAGCTGAACCCATTGAAGTGTGCCTTCGGAGTGACATCTGGAAAATTCATAGGGTTTATGGTTTCCTAGAGGGATGTCATATGTCTATCCCCTGTTATGCCTTCAGATCATTTAGCTAAATTTAGGGGGGAATCATATAGAAACCCTCAGAAGATCCAAGCTATATTGGATGTGGCGCCCCAAAAAACTATCAAGGAGGTCTAAGTGCTAACCGGGCGAATAGCAGCTCCCCATCGATTCATCTACCAGCCTGCAGAGAATTGTCTGTCATTCTTCAAAGTTTTGCGCAATATTTAAGACTTTGAATGGTATGAGGAATGTCAGGTGGCCTTCCAACACTTTGAAGGATTATCTCGTATCTCCCCCACTGCTCACGAAGCCGATGCCGGGGAATCTATTGTATTTGTACCTTGCCACTTCCTAGGCGGCAATTAGTTCTGTGCTGGTTTGGGAGGAGGATGGTGTGTAGAAGCCAGTGTACTACACCAGCAGGGTGCTGCAAGGATATATCCCCCTTAGAGAAAGTGAATAAAATGAATTCCTTTACGAAAGGAGACAGAGAGAGCTTTCAACAACTTAGTTGTCCACTTCTCTTCCAATCCATTTCGATAAGCTAATGTAGTTTCAATCTCTTTTTCCCCCCAATTACTCCGCCTCGATAGGCATGCTTCAGATTCCCTGCATTGCTCTGCAACTTTAGCCTGACTTCATGTCTTCCTTCCCGTCTCCTTGGACCGAGCTAGCCTTTCTTTGTAGGGTCCCAAGTAGCGCAAGACGACCCAGGAGTACGACCCTATTTTGATAAAGCTCCATAGGTAGATCCCCGAAGTGATCTACCAGCCTAGCTAAGATCGGTGAGCCTCTCCTTCTTGTTAGCTGCTATTTGTGGGTGAAAGCAAATCTCGACCATGCTTTTGTCTTTGCTTCCCCAAAGTCTTTGATTGGTTTGGACTCAGGAGAGTCAACTCTATGTATGGGGGACGAGACCTTTCTTTCGGATGATTCCATCCTATCATCCTTCTTCGCTAATGTAATGGGTTAACCTCATCACCTTCATCATCACTTATAAAAGTGATAGACAGACATGAAGCTTTAATAAGTTTAGGCCTTGTTCATGGAATGAGCAGCTATTCCTTCATCTTTGAGGCTACCTTACGATTCAGATTGAGATGGAGGATAAATCATTTAGATTTAGAGGACTTCTTAGATATTAGAGGTTTCATTCAAAATTCTCCAACTGAAGACTGATTTTGCCTACTCTTTTTCGACTTCTTTTTCTTCTTTGGTGACCTTTGTCCTTTTTCTTTTCCTTTGAGCTAGTTGAGACTGATGAGCCTTCTGAGCAGCTCGCTTTGATGCCCACTCACGCCTTTTCTTTGCTCCTTTACTTTCAAAGAGCACTCCTCTAGTCGAAAAGAAAGAATCACTCACCTCACGAGGCCGGGTGGAAACTAAGAGAAATTCTAATCAAATACGAACGTATTCTTAAAAGAAAGAAATTCCCAGGGCTCAAGTAAGCAATTGTTTTTTTTTTTTTACATAAACCAACCCATGCCCACAATTCTTTCTTTACTTACACTACCCACCATGACCCAACTCATCCCCATAATACCAAACACATCCTCCCAAATGCTGTAAAAGGTGTATAAATGGGCTATAATATTATAGCAGAAATAACTAGAGATCTTCATTTCACAACATCAAGACATGAGAGCTACTGTCACCTGATGGAGTGATATTTTTAATCGCTCAGCAGTGAGCTTAAATTATAGTATTTGAGGGTCTGTATTTTTGGATCTCACCAATTGTACACTTGTTGATAAATCAAAAAACTAACAAGAAGTCCATCATGACTAATGAGGAAAACCAGCTGCTGGAAGTATGGCTGGATTGGTGAGAACACCTCCTTGCAACCAGCCCCTTGAAGTT